CGTTCTGGAGGCCTGTGGGGCTTTAAAATGTCGAGACAGGAAGGTTGGGTGGGGAGGTGGCTCTGCTGCTCCAAGACTGAGAGGTCAGTTAAAAGACATCATAAAGAAAAGGAGGGCCGGCTGAGTGGCGCGATGGTTAAGAACTGGCTTGGGATGTCAGAGGGCCCCGGTTCAGATCCCACATATGAGGGCCAGTGACACTGCCCTCTACAGCTAAGATGCTAAACAACAGCTCAACCTGGAGCAGGGCTGCTGTGAGTGGGACAGGCATAGGCTGCAGCCCCTGCTGCAGTGGGTTGCCATGGGCTACCGTATGTAGCCAGTAGCCAGCGTGAGTGGCCAGCAGCCGCAGTGAGCGGCCATCCAGAAGCCGGCGACTGATCTGCTTTGCCTGGGAAGAGCGCAATGATGGTGCCAACTTGGGCCACTGAAGAACAAAATGACAGCAACTTGTCTGTTCCCCTTCCCCCAATTCCCCAGCACTGTTCCCATCCCCTCAATTCCCCAATAAAAAAAATCTAACAAAAAAAAAAAAAAACAAGAAAAGACAGTTGTAATGTGTAATGTTTAAAAAAAACATTTACAGGTGGTTTCAAATTTTTTATTTTTATAAAAAGTTTCTCAATTTTACAACTTTGCATATAATTCCTACAGTATATTAGGTTTAAGAAAATTAGCATGAAGGAGGAAGGCTTCTTGCTATTCACTGGAAATCTGAAATTATTGGATAAATTTTCCATTACATAAAAAACAATTGGCCAATTAAAAAATTAAAAGGTGCTTATCCTATTAGGAATCAGGGAAACGCAAAATTGAACTACACATTTCACACCCTCAAAATTTGCCAAAATTTAGAAGTCTAACATTACCAATTGTTAACAGGTACACAGAAGAAAAGGAACTCTCACATTCACTGCTGAAAGGAATAGATTTCTCCTGGAAACAAATTTTTACTTAGAAATTTGACTATATCATTCTGTTCCTGGTACATATGCACCAAATGGTATTGTTTGTAAGAGCAAAAACAACTGCAAACAGCCAACTATCCATCAACAATAGATAACTAAATTGAGGTACAGTATTTACAGCAGCAAAAGTTATTGAACTGCAGCTACAAGAATCAAAATGGATGAATCTCAAAAACAGTGTTGAGTGAAACAATCAAATCCTAGAAGAACACAATTTCATTACATTTAGACAAAATTCAAAAAGTATGCACAATAAACAAAATACTGTTTAAGGTACACATTTAAGTGGTAATACGGTAAAGAAAATTAAGAGAATGATAAAATCCAGGACAGTGGAAAGGGAGGAAAATACACAGGTACTCAGGGGACTTCCATGGTTAGTACTGGGTTGTTGGGAAAGTCATGACGTATTTTTTTTGTTTTCGTTGCAAAAATGCGTCATGACTTTTCCGACAGCCCAATATTTCTTAAAAGTGTTGGGTATAAAGTTCTTTAAATATTGCATGTTAAATACAAACTTTTTATGCAAATAGTGAAAATATCCAGTAAATGGAATCATACAGAATATGTAGCTTTTTTTTTTTCAGCTGAGCCATCCTGTCACCTGTTGGCGGCTCAGCAGCTGCTCAGCTTGGGCTGGGACTTGAACCACTATTGCTCGGAGCTCAAACTCTTGAGTGAGCTTTTAACCAACTGAGCCACTTGGCTGGCCCCTATTATGTAGCCTTTTGAGTCTAGTATAATGCATTTGAGATTAATTTGTGTTGCTCCGTGTATCAGCAGTTCCTTCTTGTTTCTTAGTAGTACTCTGTTATATGGATGTACTACAGGTTACTTATTCATTCACCAGTTGAAATGTTATGCGAGTCTCAGTTCTTCTTGCTGACATAGTAAAGAATCAAAGATCAGCAAGCTGGGCCGGCCGAGTGGTGCGATGGTTAAGAACTGGCTTGGGATGCCAGAGGGCCCCGGTTCGGATTCCACATATGAGGGCTAGTGACACTGCCCTGCCATGAGTCGCTGGCGACCGTGTAGGCTGCAGCCCCTGTGGCAGTGGGTTGCCATGGGCTACCGTGTGTAGCCAGCAGCCAGCGTGAGCGATCAGCAGCCACAGTGAGCAGCCGTCAAGAAGCCGGTGACTGAGCTGCCTCGCCCGGGAAGAGCGCAATGATGGTGCCAACTTGGGCCAGTGAAGCAACNAAAAAAAAAAAAGAGTCATGGGAAGTGAGACAGTCTCTTGGAGGATGGACACATTTTGTTTCCTAAACTCATTGTTTGACTATTTCCTTTCTATCTTGTCTGTCTTACAGAATGAAGAATGTTGTACTGGTGAAACAGAAACTTACAACAGAGGATAACCCTACAGCCTAAAGCAGGTATGGGTCTGAGAACGGAGTGGGAGAGTAGAGCCAGCCCAAGTGAAAAGAACAGTGTGCTGAATCCAGGGTTTGATATACTTCCCCTGGAAGTATTAAGATGGGATCTGCCTTACTGGTAATTACTGGCCCTAAACCACTTTATTACACCTAAATTTTCTCTGATTTCAACTGAATGGATGTTCACAAAGGCTTTTCCTAGTTACAGCTAGTATTTTATAATTTTATGAGATGATTTTTAGTCCCCCTAGATGCTGGCGATGCCCCAGCCTATGAAACAGGAGCCTTAAAGAAATAGCCACACTTCCATCTTTACTCCCATTATCAGCTTCTTGCTTACATGATACAGGAATTGGCTGGGAAGTCCACCTTTCTGGGGTTTCAGGGAAGACCTTCGATAGCTGCTTGTTGTACTTGTTGAGGTTTTCCAGGAAAATTTGGTCTCTCTTTGCACCAATCCGGTGGATGACCTGGACTTTATCTGTGAACAGATAAAGAAATATTGAGTCCTCAGCACCCTGGGTTTTCAGTCACCAGGATCAGCCCCAATTTCATTTTACCCTACTCTAAGCCCGTAGGACTCATGACTACCATGCTTGTGGGCATCTCTTGAAAGTGACTGTGGTTTGGGAATATGAGCTGGTGGTCTCATAGAGGCCTGGATGCCAAGGCAGAACCTGCCTAACTGATAGGCATTGTCCCCTATGAAAAGCTAGACACTAATGAAGGGCTACCAAATTCATCTCTTATCAGTCATAAATTCCTTAGTCAGATTAACTTGGTTAAGCACTTTAAGAAGACTTTCAGTTGGTAGAAATTTAGAACAAGATGGGGGTAGGAAAGAATAAACAGCTTGGACCTAGATCATGTATCCTGGAAGCCCAGGTGTCTAAAGGATAGCAAGATAGAAGGGGAAGGTAGTGGACTTTTACTGGACATTGGGCAAGAAGCATTATAGATGCTTTCTGGTCTACTCTTTACTTGAAGTGCATTTTTATTAATATTATTTTACAAATAAAGTACGTAAGGCTCAGAGGGATTATGCAGTTTGCTGAAGGTTAGTAGAAGGGGTTAAGCCAGGATTTAAACTCAGATGTGTCTGACTCCAGAGCCTGATTCTTCGTTTTCCCAGTATTGCGCCTCAGTGGGGGAATATCTCAAAGTGAGAGAAGGGAGAAGGGTGTACAGAGAAGAGGTAAGCTGTTCCCAGTGCAAATCTTGCTTTACAATCCCACCCTCCACTGCCTCCTTAGTAAAATAAAGGGATAAAGAAAGAGGGAAGAGGCAGTTTCTTCCGCACCAGATAACTGCTGCGGGGGGAGGGGGGCCCCCCCACCCCTCCCCGCAAAACCCCCAGCTCCTGTGCGAGTAACCAGGAAATGCTACCACGAACACCTGGGTCATCCAGGGCCTCTTATCTTACACCCATGACTCATGCCCCAGCTACCTTCTACCTCCCTGCTCCAGGTCCACCTGAGCCCCCCACCACAGGTCCCCAGCTCTATTACCAAAGTAAATCTCCTGTTCAAAAGCGTGGTCTGTGGAGTAAGCACACTTTCCAGCTCGGGGATTCACCTGTCGGAAGTTGCTTTGGTTTGGGGGCTGGCAGATGCTCCAGTTTCCATCAATATCCTCACCGGCCGTATTGTTGCCGGGCATAATTTCAAACCTCTGCACTTGTGGCAAGTAACTGGGCAATCTTGACGGGTGAGAGAGGGGAAGACAGGGAGAAAGGTAGGAGATGGACCTCCCCCTTTCCATCAGATCCAAAACCCATTCCCTTTCCTTTTTAAACTCAGCTCATCCACGCATGCGCATTTAAAGAACACCTATGTTTAACTATTGGCCTTGCCCCTGAGGTGCCAGTTGAATATGGAGCTGCCAAAAGGGCTTGTCTGCAGCCACCTTCCCTCTCGCTTCGTGGACTCACTCCCTCTGCAGCCTCTAGACAGCACCATAGAGTGGCCGTCCTCCCAGCATTGCCCTTCTTTAACACTGGTGCCCTTAGAATTTCAACAGACTTGGGAAAGGAAACCCGCCTCCTACATTACCTCACTTTATCTATTATGTGTGTGGTTATTTACTGTCTGTCACCCAGTGGACAGGCTGTAAGCTCCTTAAAGGATAGGTCCACGTCTATCTTATTTACATTGCATTCCTAGCACTTTGCAGAAAGTAGTGGGAATGCAATTTATATTTGTCCAATAAATGAATAAATAAATGGGTTTCCGCTTTTTTTTTTATAGATCTTTATTGGGGAATTGGGGGGATGGGAACAGTGCTGGGGAATTGGGGGAAGGGGAACAGACAAGTTGCTGTTGTCTTGTTCCCCAATCTAGTTGTGGAGGACNTCAGCCGGCCCAAAAATGCTCTATTTTTAATAAGAGATTTTGTTCCAAAGAGTTTCTTTTTAGATAATAATACTATTTAATTGCTTTATGTTTTATTCCTGCATTGTCTGTTCCCAAAGCATTTAATTTAATTCTGAGTGTGCCTTTGCCATATTCACTATTGTTAAGATTTTAGATTTTAGACAGACTTTAGATGGGAAATGCCTGAGAAATCTCCCACCACTCCTTGTTACTCAAATGTGACCACAATAGGCTTCCAATCTGTGCATTTTCCCTCCAACATGGAACATGACACCCAGGAAAGGTCAAAGGTCCTTTATGGCACCAAGGGACAAAAGACTACTGAATCCAGAAAAACCTGACTTTTGATTAATGATGCTTACAGAGAAAGAGCTTGATCTTTAAAAGGGGGGAAATGTGATAATTAATAAACAAATCTCATTTAAAATGGATGCAAGAAGCTAGAAGAGAGAACTCTCACACACATCACTCAACTCACACTACTGACCCCCACAGGACAAGATCATAACTTGCATCTCCCACAGGAAATGATAGTACTTGACTACCTCAGTAGGAGGAGGAAAAAAATTCCTCCTTGCCCAGTAAGAGCTGGGGCAATGGGGGACTGCCATAACTCAGCCAATGAAAAGTCACTATACTTCTAAATTTCAGTTTCTCCCAATAGACTGTTCCTTTACAACAGGTCCTCCCAGGTCCATAAAAGAGCATTTCTCTCCTGTGTTTCCCTGGACTTGTGCTGGATTGCCTTTAGACTGCATGCCCTGAATTACATTGTTTTGTTGTTCCTGAATAAACCTATTTTGCTGGAGAAATATCTGGCTATTTTATCAAATGTGAAATAAAATGGGGTCACTTGTGTTAAGGAGCTTTAAAATGGAGCCAGGAGGCCATTAAGGAAATGGGTTTTATGGAAATGACATCCTCACTGGACAGAACATGAACTTTGAACTGGGCAAAACCATATATATTCTAGAACGCTGCAAGAACGCCTGCAACTACTCACAAAGACAGACTTTCTCTTAGTGATAGCTTTAGCAATCAATTATGTTTAGCCAAGATTAGCTTTCTGTTACCAGCACCAATTAAATTCTTTTTTAAAAAAGATTTTTATTGAGGAATTGGGGAATGGAAACAGCGCTGGGGAATTGGGGGAAGGGGCACAGACAAGTTGCTGTCCCTCTGCTCCTCAGTCTAGCCGTGCTTGCCCCACTGGCCCAAGCTGACACCATCATTGCGCTCTTCCCCGGACAAGGCATATCAGTCGCTGGCTTCTGGACGGCCGCTCACAGCGGCTGCCAGCAGCTCACACTGGCTGCCGGCCACACACTGCAGCCCATGGCAACCCACTGCAGCAGGGGCTGCAGCCTACACCATCACCAGCAACCCACGGCAGCCCAGCTCTAGGTCGAGCTGCCGTTCAGCATCTCAGCTGTGGAGGGCAGCGTCACTGGCCCCCATATGTGGGATCCGAATCGGGGCCCTCTGGTGTACCAAGCCAGCTCTTAACCAACGTGCCACTCGGCCGGCCCTAAAATTCTTTATGACTGACTTATGCAAACCTTAACCTCCCCTTTTGCCTTTGAAAACCCCCTGACTTTTGTTCTCCGGGGGTGGACACTTTGGGTTACTACCTGAATTGCTATGCATGGATTTGCAACTCCTTTTAAAGTCCAGGTAGATGCTTTTCTTTTGTTTGATTTTTGCCTACTGACAATTTTGGTTAACAATTTGTTTGAGGTCAACAGTGGGCTTGAAGCTTATACAACTTGCAGGTTTCTCTAATAAAAAGAATATGAAAATATGAATGTAAAATCAAGAACAAGGCCTTGGAAAAGGCCTGAAGTTAAGTTTGATGAAAAAAATCCACCACAGGGTGGAACCCGTAACTTATGAAAAAGTGGGGAAAGGTGAGATGTGTAGGATGATACCATTTGCCTAAATGAAGCAACACAAGAGTTCTGTATAACAAAATAATATTACTTCATTTGGCTATTTTTTTCCCCCTGAAAGGAATGAAGCTGAGGTGACACGGTAAGATGCCAGGCCCCTTTGATAAGGGATGGTGTGGAATATAAGCATATACACAAATAATACACAAGCAAAACACCATGACGCACATTTTAAAACAAAGGGCCTATGATTAACGGGTGTTAATTACTTAACAAAGGGACAAAATTCAATTCCAGTCCTGCGCTCCTCTTAGCCATTAAGAGTTGGAACTGAAGACTGCTATGTGCTAGGTTCCTTCAGGTCCAACCCACTGCACAGGTGAACTNGGCTGCTCAGCTCGGGCTGGACTCGAACCGCTGTTGCTCAGAGCTCAAACTCTTGAGCGAGCTCTTAACCAACTGAGCCACTCGGCCGGCCCCTATGTATTGTTTTGTTTTTAATGTTTTTAATTTGGGAAGAGGAATGGTGCTACAAGCTGTTAAATTTGAAAGATTTTAGCATTTTTGAATTTTTCCTAACTATGACAAATAACAGTTGGAAATTTGAGAACAGAAGAAAATAGAGAAATACAGTTGTTATATAAAAATAGTTATAGTTGTTATATTTTCTAGACTTAATGTTCTCCCTGGTGTCACATTCAGAAAGCCTCTTTCTCAAAGGAGTACTTGTGTGGAAAAGGAGAAGACAAAACAGATAAAAAACATTTCCAGATCACTAAATTCATTATTTGCGACATTGCTTCTCAGTTTCATGTTCTAATCTCACTATCAGCTGTTTCTTCCAAGATTTCATTCTAACTCCAACACAGATCAGATTTGCTCTGAATCACTTCTTTCCCTTGAACAAGGATGGCAATACCATTTCTTTCTTCTAATGTAAAGAGTCCCATGAGACTCCAGGGCAGTTTAGCTCAGATGCCCACACAAAGCTTGCCCTCCAAATGGTCCTCACCCAGCTTGGTCACACTGGGGGAACTCAGTCACTCTATTCGGGGTTCCTTCCTTTGCAGTGTAGGATGTGTGCAGCCAGAAGCTGTAGAATCAGCTCCATACAAGTCACCTCCAGGTGAGGAGATACTTTGCCACGTGACACGCCCCCACTTCTCTCAGCCTACTTGAAATCCCTCCCAGGGAAGTAAGAAATAGCTGAATTAACCCTGCTCCCCGCCTTCCTTTCCTCCTATATCCCCCTGCTCAGGGAGTTAAAATGGATGTAGTGAGAAAGTCTTGAAGCTAATATTTAACCTTTGTGGGAATAAACATGTACAATTGCCAGTATTTATTTTACTTCCAGTACTTTGAGTTCTAGGCAGGTAGAAATATATTCACTAGCCACCTTCTACTTCACAAGTCATCTAAAGGGCACACACAAACAACCCTTTGGTTTTCTGTGGGACAGAAGGTACAGTACAATCGCTTCTTTTGGCTAAGATCAAGTGTAGTTATCGGTTCTTATCAGTTTAATATCTGATATGTCCTCTATCCAAGGACAATATATTAAATGGATTTTTGGAATTAGGAGATGGAATAGGAGCTTGCTCCGTCCACTCCACGCATTGACCAGGTGCACCAAAATTAAAAAAATAAAAAGGTACAGTACACTCCTTGGCAGAAACAAATGGTGCATTTTAGATTTGTACCATAAAACCTGTGCGTGGTATATAGGAACTGTAATGATCTGGGCACACTAGAGAGTTTTGTATCACGATTTGGGAGAAATTAAAGACTATGTAGTA